GTATGAAAAGAAATTACTATTTCCGTCCAAATTAAAAGAACATTTGTTATTTGTTTTCGAATATTTTCTATTCAGTGTTGTTTTACTAATGAAATATAGATGATTTGCATAAGAAAATCAATAATTAGTGAATTAATTACTCGGTAACTACAAATTTCGTTTGGTTTGCAGATGTTAGACGAGAAAGTAGATAAGTAACCACACCTTTAGTTTTATTATACCATCTAGTTAATTTAAAACGAAAAAAATGAAGACAAACTGATTAACCTATTATCCTATTACCTACATTTTAACCTGATACTAATAAAATGCACGGTGTTCAGCTATTGTTTCTGCACAAGTACCTTCTTCAAGTGATTAGCGTATTATTATATTACTTTAGATTGTTGTTAGATTTCACTTTTCGAATTATTTTAAATTTGAATGGTTAAAGGTAATTAACAGGTGGTGATTTTGAACAATAGAAACATGACATGCTTATTAAGTAGTAAAGCAATAATTAATGTTATTATAAAACTAAAATTGATATTTAAGTTGGCCCAGACGAGTTAAATTACTTGTTGCTCATTATTTGTTAATTTTAGCCAACAATTTTGGCGCCTTAGCCATTTTTCTGAAGTAGAAAGTAAGCGAGATGATTCAAGATTTGCATTAAAGTATGTTTTTTGGTTTTCTTTAAGTTTTTTTTCTCAGTTAAATTTTGTTGTTTTATTTTTTGACTTAAATATCTTAATATTTTTGAGGTTAGGTTAGTCTAGATTATTTTGACTTAAATATCTTAATATTTTTGAGGTTAGGTTAGGCTAGATTATGTTAGGAAGTTGTTAAAGTGAAAAAATCTATGTCAAAATGTTTTGAACACTATGCAAATACAGTCAGAACGTGTAATTGAATGTTATCGAAAGTGAACAATACTCCTTGTTCTTCTAATATAGGTTTATGTGCATAAATAAGTCTAGTTTTCTAATACTGTCGCATATTTTGAAACAATTCTGTCATGAATTGTACCTACTATTTTAATAAGGTGTAAAATAATCAACGGTTGTAACACTAACCATTGTATCCTAGACAACGATAATTGTTATTATAGTCGTTTTTCTAATTCAATGAGGGGTAACAAATAAGGCAAAGTCGCAGTTTTCTGCAATCCATTAATTTAGAAAGTACTCAAACGGTTATCTTAATGTAATGTTATGTAACGTGAGATTTTCTCACTAATCAATAACGATCTTTAATTATACGCACCATCGTAACAATCCCAAACAGGCATTAGGTTATTTCTGTTCCTCATAGCAGAAAGTCTGTTTGAGAAAAAACAGGTAATTCCGGAAGCTTTTTTACAATACAGTGTAATGCAATTTTGAGACTTTTGCATATTATGGCGCGACATTAGAGAATGGCGAATTTCAATTGAATAATAATACTAATTGTAAATAAAAAATGAGAGGAACAGCGAGACACATTTGAAGTTTTTTTAGCGTCTTTTCAAACTATATCATAACTGTCACATGTCGAGCAAAGCTGGATTTGAAATGTGATTGATTTACAGTATAATCGACTTCACATGATTATTTAAATTGATTAAGTAACTGCCATGTTTAATAAAATGTAAAACATGTTTTTCATTCTGTAGTCAATTGTATCCTATGTCTAATAGGTACTTACTAAGAACTTGTTGTTAGTGCGGAAGTAGAACATAAAAATTAAAATACTTTGAAAATGATTAATGGTTATTTACTATCAACCAAAGAATATGTTTGTTATGTAACAGATGTACAATTTGACTTTACTGTAGTGCATTTATTTTTATTAAAATAATCTCATTTAGACGTTTGAAAAGTTTAAATATTTCGGATCGAAGTTAGAGATTGGATGGTACCCGGTTTGGTTCCGGTACCCGGTAGATCCGGCACTTTGGTTAGGATCCGGCCGGATACCGGATAATAACACCGGGTAAGTAAATATCTATAATAAAAAACTTATCTAATAAAAATTGGAATTGAGATTGCATTGGGATAGATCATTTGTAGTATTTATTGATTACTATACTAAATTATTTGTTATTTTGAAATATTTTTTGTATTTACTCTTTCTCGCTTGTTGGTATGTCAGGTTGTGATTAACGATAACTTATTATTACTATGATTTTGTCACCTTGCAGGCTTTTAGTGTTTATGAACATTATAGGCTCGTTTCAACGGTATCAACTCAACCCTCTCGTTGAAAATTCCTCTGCCAAGAATTAAAATTATTTAAACGGCTTTTTGAAGGGGACTTGTTGTGATTTGATATCGGACATTGTTAAGCGTTGTATTTAGTGGAAAGAACGAAAATATGAACCATTAACCATTGTGGTGTTGCTAATTTTGGGCCTGGTAAACTCGCTATCCGGTGCATCTCTATTTAAAATGTAATCGGGTGGAAAATAGACTTTTGGTGTCACAAGGTCCGTAGCATTTCGACTATTTTCTTCTTACAAGGTCTTTGTTATTGTTTTTGTCATCTTAAATAGGAACGAAACGATTTTTTTTAAAAATTAGTTTATAAGTTTCGCTACGAAATTGCAAATTAGAGTAGGTATTAGAGCGTAAAATTTCTGCAAATTTGGCTACGTTTCGTTAATTTACAGATCGCTTAAAACGAAATAGTGTTTGTAAACCCTTCACGTCACAAAGCGTAGGTAATAAAAAATTAGAACCGTTATTCTTCGATCTTTTCTATTTCTTAATGAGAAATTGATTTCCGATCATGATACATGCTAGTAACTTGTACTTCCTGAAAAAGTCTTTGTATAATTTTAAAGAAAATTTATATAACAACATTCGCTATTAGTAGTTGTAACAATTCATAGTGACAACATAACTAGAACAAGTCAATTAAATTAATTCAATTTTCTGCAATAATGGGTGAAAGGTGTATTGATATGTTCACATTTACAGGAAAAGGTTTAACAAAACCTACAATAAAAATGCCATAATGCGAACACCTGCCCATTACCTGTCATGCAATTTCTTGAAGAACAAATTTAAATTCACTTTTTTTGAGTCATCGTAGGCTATAATGTCCGTAATTACCTACATATTAGAAAAATTACTCACTGTAGTTATACTATAGAAAAGCATTTAGCTCGCCTAAATGAAGACAGTTTGATATTGATAGCATTTTCAATAATTACTCTAAATTTATTGTATTTAACCAAGAATTCAAATATTATTACATTTTTAAGGTGTCAAATACCTAATATGCTCTAATTGTAGTATTAGTACTATAAATCTACTAATTATTATAGAGGAATATGAGTGTACGTTTTCGTTTCTAATTTTTAGCCATAGTTTGCCTATCAGTTATGGAATAAGGATATAACTAAAGTTAAGTAATGGTACAGTTGCTATGCAAAATCACTGCCTATTATATCTAATTGTACCTCTTTTTCGAGTTTGTAATTGCACAGCTTTCAGTATTTTTGAGATAATGTGAGTTTTGGTCTGTTTGACAACTGTTTGTTTAACATTTCCATAACTTTCTAGCGGGTATGCCACAATTGGCTTAGATTGGAAAAAGTGAAAATATTTTAGTCGAAGAGATAATATTTAGAGACAACACCAGCAACGGATTTAACAAAAGTTCTTTGTCTAATCGAAAGTATGCAATTTGTTTTTGCGAGGGAATTACGTGTGCTATTCAGTTAAAAAGCTATCCTGTTAAAATTCTCACGATCTGACCCAAATGAGGACAAAGCAGCAGAAACTGGTACAGCTTTGTTTAAATGTTGCATCTGACCTTATGAAAAAAATATCGCAATTGCATAAAAATTCATCAACCTAATTTTTTTGGTTAATGTATGACTTATTAAGACATTTCATTATAAGTATTATGAATTTCTTACCTACGACTAGTTGCACTACCCTCAGCAAAATTACCTTTTTTTAGAAATATTGCTACAATTCTGATTTATACCTAAGGTATTGTGGGTTTTTGTTTTATTTTTCTTTCCGTTAAGTTATAACAGTTATATTTATCCTAATAATACGATAGCGAGTTTCTGCAGTTTGTCCGCTCCTGATTCATTCGAATTGTTTTTGCAAGTCCCAGATTATAGGGGATTTACCAATGTGAACGAAGGTGAACACCGCGGGGGAAGAGTAGTTGCAAATAAGTAGCCATCGAGGTCAGACGAACAAAAAGAGTAAAAATAAAAGAGGAAAGACGCGAGAAAGACGAAAGACGCGTAGAAGACGAAAGACGTACAAAAGACGGAAAGTCCTGAAAAAGACGATAAAGACGGAAGACGATAAAATCAATTGTATATTGATGTGCTGTTGTGACCAATAAGAAAAGTGTATCAGGATAGCTGTTCAATACTGTGGAAAACTCTAATTGTGCAAACGTTTATACTTTTTAATATTTTAATTTTATTCATTAAACACTTTCTAAAAATAGTGGAGCTGGATTCGTTTTTATTCACCCTAGACAACAACGGAAAAAAGCCTACAGTATTGTAGTTTTTCGAAAAAATGTACTCTATTGATTTATTAAATGTGTATTAATGCAATCAGTCGGTTTCTAATTAGTTTTTTCCTGTGTTTCGCATATGAAATTAATTTTCCAATAGTTTCCAGTTAATATTTCATGAGCCAAAAATACTATAAATTTATTGAGATTAAAACGGTTAAAAATATAATTATCACCTAGCAAGAATCGAACAGTAACAGTTACCTACAGTATGTGGCATGTAAAGATAAAAAAATTTACAGTTGCATTACGTTTGGTAACCTTCTGCGAAAATGACAGAAAACGTGTAATAGTCGTACAGGTCAAGAATAGACCTCTAAAAAGGACAAAAAAGGATCTGAAGAAAACATTCCGTAATAACGAAACAGTTAGTCGATCACTGACGAAGTCACAGAATCCTCGTCGTAGAACAACACTTTTTCTTTGGCACACATAGTAGATAATCCTTCAGATGATAACGTAGATAACGGAAAATCCTCACCACTCACCTTTCTTTTTTTTCGCTCCAACTCGGACCGTGCTAACCGAATCCAAAAAGCAGGCTATCAAAAGTACAACGGCCAGAATAAGGTACCGTTGTAAGAGATCCATGGTACCCACTGCTTACACTACTAAACTCGCACAATCACTACTAACAACTAAGACAGTCTGTCTGTTCTAAATTTTTGCCGCGGTACCGAACTGTAAGCGTTCACGACGGCCTTTTAAGACTTCGCGCTCCACCTTTCCATTTATCATTTGATTGGCGCGAGAGTGAGAGCGCGACCTGGTGAGGGTGATTCGAAACGTTTGGGACACGGACTCCGGGGCTGCGCCAAGGTCACGGGCCTTCCGGATTCGACGTACCTCCGGAAAAGCGCCCTGCCTGCTTTCCCGTTGTAGTCGTCGCCGCGGCAGACGTACTTACTCCCATCAAGGACGCTTACCGTACGATAGATCAGCTGGTCTGAACCGTTATCTTAACCAACTGGATGATCGTAATGATGATGAAGTTGATGACGGAGATGCTCACGACGAGCGACCGTTCGTTGTTGTTCCAATGGCCAAATAACAACAAATTATAATCACTAGATCTAAGCAGTCGTATGGTTTATTATGGCGTTCATCCGACAAAATAGAACCGGGTTAAGTGCCGGCTACAGATGCCATGTGATGCTGACCGCAATTTTCAGATTCAAGCAATAACCTTATCTTCTTAGGTACATAATTTATGTCGCAAGATGGTTTCTACATATAATATACTGTATTCTTCCGGTTTCATCACTGTTTTTAGTTTATTTAAAAAGACTGGAAGGATAAACTGCAATGGCCTTCCTGATACATGCAAGATTTTTTTCTGTTGTGTCTTAAAAATTCTGTATAGATCTCTTTCTTTTTCTCTTTTTTCTATAAATATTCCAGNTTTTAGTTTCAAGTTAAGAAACCAAAATATTTGGAAAATTAATACCTGTATGACATCTACTAATTTAGAAGAACCAGAAATTACTTTATTTTTGTATTGTAAAACTGAATAAAAACGATGAATTATTCAGATAGATCTTTATTTTCTATAAATATTCCAGTATGTGGTTAACATTATTATATGCGGTAAAACCGAAAGTAACCAAAATTAATCAGCATAATTGGATTGATATTCCAGTTTACCTGGTTGGTATATAATTATGATTCAAAGAAAAACCCTTATTATTTTAAGTAGCTTGAGTAAGAAAAACATTCATTTACGTCATCAGTGGCTATGACTTAGAAATTTTATTTTTCGATTAAAATTTCCTTTTTTTTTATAGAATATACCCAATTTTGAAACAGAAAAAACCATTAGACACACGGCAAGACAAAGAAATTGACTTGTATTAGATGTACAAGTTTTAAAAATTGTTAACTATCGAATTGCATTGAAAAAGCCCACAAACTGTTGGTCAAACGTTGGGAAAAGTTTGGAACTTTCGTTAAAATAGTATTCCTATAAAGAATCAGGAGACAAACGGTTAGTACTAAAAAAATACAAATATTGCAGGCAATTCTTGTTATAAATTCAAACAAACAATGTTTTCAAAACATGTGAATATTCTTCGGTTATTCATTCGCGTGTTTGTATTTAAGAAGTACACGTTGAGTTAGCTTCTGTTTCAATATTAGGATGTTAAATTTGCAATTAAACAAGCATTATTGTATAGTCGTCGGTCCTGGTTGGACACGCACCTCCATTTTTTCCTATCGTAAGCTAATCTTTTGATATCCCTAAAACTAGAACATCCTACATCCTTAACCGTTTCTGAACAGTAATCTAATAAGTCTTCCTCTACTCCTCTTAACTCCTGTTTCTGCTTCTAAAATGTCTTTAACTAGGTCATCATGCTTGAGAAGTTGTCCTACTAACATATCTCGCCTATTTCTTATTGACTTCTATAATGACCTCTGTTCTCGTATTCTTTCTAATATCTTCTCATATTTAACTTTTCACGGTATCCTCATCATTTGTCTGTAACCTTTCCTTTGTTTCATTCCATTTTAAAGTTTTGCTTTCCGGCACACCCACCGTCTGTGTTTCACACCAGTACAGCGATGCATTCCAGACGTACACTTTTAACAATCTTTTTCGAATTTCTAAATTAACTGCTCGCAAGTATAGGAATGCAAGAGGAAAAAAGAACCCTTTTAAGACTAGGAAATTAAAAGCACTTTTACCTATAAAGTAAATTGGCATAGCAGCAAATTATGTTGAGCTGTAGTATGCTTTTTCAGTAGTCAGCATTCAAAATGTCCAAATGAAATTTTCAAGAGAGCCCAATATACTGTGCGGTTTTCTGTTCAGTTGTTTTGGGTCATGCTGCATAACATTGAAATCGGTTTAGATATATACAAAATATAACAGATTCTCTGCGGTTATTTCACTGAAAATTCGTATCGTTGCGTTTGAAACTACTGAAACTAAAATTATGAAAGTGGTAGTTTTGAAAATGTATCCTAAAATTTATAAAAAGATTTAAGCTTAGATTCTAGAAAATAATTTGTAAAAAATTCAGTTTTCTTTCAAAATTTACTGTTTCGAATTGTTTTTTTGATCTCTATACCGAATTACACATCACTTATATTACAATGAAACATGTAAAGTATATAAAACGATTAGTTTTTTACATCATTGGATAACTTATGTTTAACAGTGAAATTGTTATTTCTCGTTAAGTGGTTAATTGTTTAACAAAATCTTTAATTTAGGAATTATTTACCTAACGAATATATTAATATGTGATTATGATAAGAATACAATGTTTCTCTAGTTTAATAATTTACATACGAACAATAAGAAAAGAAAAAATTCTATTTTCACAAATGAGAAAGTTTCATGTTAGTATTAGAAAAACCTTCACTGGTTTTATAAATAACATCATAAGTATTATTTAATGACCAGTGTTAATACCTGGAATATATTAAACAGTTAAGAAATGTAACTACTTAGTTACTTTCGTTAAAAATGTGGAAAAATATTTCGCATGCCTGTAGGTAATGAAACTATCGCCGCCAACATTATAAGCATAATTATGTAGTACCTATTAGTCGTATGTTCTTCTAAATAATGACGTGCAGTAAAGATACAAAAGAAAAAGTTGTATAAGTCTATGCTATTAATACGTAGTTGTCATTTTAATAAAATATAGTATTAAATTAAAATAATACACTTAACTATTCTTCTGTTTTACAATTTGTATTATTTTATTAAATTTGACAATACTTGACAGTTAATTCACAATTCAAATCCAAAACCACTGTACTATCTTCCGCAATGTTGAGTTAGAACTACTTCATTGAAATGCGACCAAAAGGGGTGAAATCTTATTTATTTAATCTGTAATCTTCAACCGACGTTTCGCCTTTTTGGTCAAAGGCTGCCTCAACAAGGTAGACTACCAATAAGTTATTGTAATAAATTAGACATAGAGAATCTTTTTTGTACAACCACCCAAATATATAACAACAATAATAAAAATATACATAAAACCATAGACTCAAATTATAAACTAACACGCTTAAAATAATAAATTAAAGTTAAAATAATAAATATTAATAAATACTTAAAATAGAACTGGATAAAATGACAATCACAATTAATAAATATCTCGGCTTTTAATTGCGATTGTCATTTTCTCCAGTTGTGCTTTTATTATTTTAACTTTAACATATTATTTTAAACGTGTTAATTTATAATTTGAGTCTGTGATTTTGTGTATGTTTTTATTATTGTTGTTAAATATTAGGATGAAAATAGGTTCTCCATGTCTCCGTCTAATCTAATACAATAACTTAGTAATCTACCTTGATAAAGCCTTCGATCAAAAAAGCTAAACGTCGGTTGAAGATTACAGATTAAATAAATAACATTACATCCCTTTTGGTAGCTTTTCATTGAAATAGTTCTAAGTCCTTTAAATTGTAATTTATTGTTTTCGTGTTATAAATAAACAATGAAAATTAATCGAAAATTAGAATGCTACATTATAAATCAACTCATTAACTTAACTAATGGATAATACATAAAAAACATGACACAAGTATGGATTTATTACATTACCTATAATTGTTATAACATTTTTATCGTGGCTGTCTCTTTTTCTTGAATAATAGTAATAATGGAAAGGTATAGGTATAGATTGTACCTTATGTAAAAGTTATAAACGAAAAAAATATTGTATTAGTGAAAACAAAAAGTAATTGAACGATATTTAGATTGTACACATTAGGTACATAGGTATATAATAATAGTTAAGTAATTTTAAAAGAAAACATTTCTTTCGTAAGCCACATTTTTTTGAAATTACCGCTTTTACAATCTTTTTATAATGTCTTTCTATTTAAAATGTCTGGGTAATTAATTTTTTAAACAACGTACTTTTACTTTTAACGATTTATGAAACAGTTTCACATATTGTCTATTGCACGTTGACGACAAATAAGTAACAGTTTTATGATTTTACACTTCCTTGCACGTTGTACCTATATGGTTCAAAGGAATTTATTAAAGTTTAACTAAGAATGCAATCAACACGTATTTTGTATTAGTATTTTGAATGTCCGATATAAACATTTAGAATTAATAAGCTGTCAAAAAATTATCAGAATAAAATGGATTTTATTGAAATTCGGTTTATCTTAACAATTCTAAAGAAGATTTTGAAAGAAGCTTTTCAAAATAGCGAGCATCTAGTTAGTTATCTAACAAAAAAGTTGACATACATTTTCATTGTAAATAGATAATTAATCAAACATTCGTCCTAATTTTTTTATTATTCTTGTTTGGGATTGTTGACTGTACCAGTAATTTCTAAAGGGCTTTTCCTGCCTTTGCTAACTTTTTGGGCCTGACGCTAGTTTTAGCTACAATAAAGTAGTTGAAATATCTGAACACATCTCATCAGTTTTGTATTTTAATTGTTTTATTGCGGAATACGCACACGAAAAATTAAAAAAGTTAAAGTAAATTAGTATTGTTTTTCCCACAATAAAATTGCATAAAAAGAACTGTCGAGTAATAGGCCGCAGCTAACTGTGGATTTGTTGTAGGTAATAAAACCGTTACACAAAAAATCGCATTAAAGAAACACTATTAACTTTTAGGTAACTCTGTTCGTTTATTTCTGCCATGGTGTGTATAATAATAGGTATATGTAATGTGAGTGTATTTGAGAGAATTTTTGTTTTCCGTCTAAATACTAAATATTCCTTTTTAGAAAAAAGATCAATTAAATTTTATCTCCGAAAAAAGCTTTTTTTTTAACGTTGTCGATAAAAAGGTTTTAA